TCTCGTGGGTCGGACAGGGGTATAGTCTCCGCGATGTCTCGTGGTGTCTCGCAATATAGCAGGAAAGGTGGGACGCCCCTAAATATTTCACGGTGAGATGTCTCGTGATGTCTCGTAGTAAGTGTCTCGTGGACTCACGCACAACGTCGAGATTCGGTGGTATTCATTTGAGGGCATGCAGCCGGGCTCAAGAGAACGAGCGCGTATAGACATATAGCCAAGTGTCCCTTTTCAGTAAACTGCGTGGCGGAGAGACGTGATGGACGAGTATATATACATTGCATATTTGATGGTATGTTGACCGCTCTGATACACTTTGCAACATGGAAAACAATAAAACACACACGCGACAAGTTTTTTTAAAGAAACAACGCGGTTGGACTCATGATGACTTACACGGACTTATCGGACTTACATGGACTTAGGCCTAAGTGGACTTATAAGTCTCTTATAGATAAGTTGTTATAAGTCAAGTTATAAGTCGGCGGCCCCCTAAGTACCTGCGTTCATCATGCGCGCGCTGCACCAACTGCGTCTTGCATAAACCGCGGCTGGACAAAATGTCTGATCCTGCGGCCGCCACCCCATGCCAAATGTCTGTGGCTCCATGCAACCTCTCCCAAATTTCCGCGGTCGAAATGAATTCCAGGCAAGGGCAGGCTCCTGAAAGCTTCGCTCACCCTCTTTCACAGTCGGCGTGCTCGTGCTATCCTTCGTCTCAAATTCCGGCTCACCAGGCGCGCAAGCAAAAATCACATTTCGTCCCTCTCACGTAGCATCTTTCAGTGTGAACTGTCTTGCAAGGTCGCACAGATGCAAGAGAGCAAGACAGTAGTAACACGTGCCACGCTAGTAGTAACAAGTGCCTTACTAGTAGTAACAATGCTTGCTATTAGATGATCAAGCAAGAGCGTCTGCGACCCCAGAGTGTCCTGCAAAAGTGTCGTTGCTCAAGAGTTTCGTGCAGTGTCACGAGCCCGCTTACCTCCCCAGATTTATCGCTGTATGCGTCCAAAACGACCTTGTTTTCAAGGCTTCAGTTTTTTTTGGCGTCACTTCAACAGTTGGGAGGGTTTTTGGCGACGGCTCCCTCAGGGAGGTTTGGCAAGGGTTGTTTGCGGATCAAAACACGGGTTTTCTGCGAATGGGCGGTTTAAGTGTTTTTTGTTGTCGGGGAGAGAAGAGAGAGGACAGGCGGCTGATACCAAGGCGAGTACGAGTATATAGTACGACGACTACCAGTGCAAGTATCAGTGTTACCATTACCATGCGTATACGACTACTACTACTACTACTACCACTAATGAGCTACTAGTCACACTAGTCCTCGCACAAGCCGAGTGGCATTACCAAAACGGGATAATGTGTCAATTCTCTGCGGCAAAAAAGAACAGAACGGCAGCACCAAAAACCGTACAGCTGGCACCGCAAATACCCCGGTTGTCTGGAATGCCGTTACAAAAAACCTCCGTTCTTTCATGTGTTAGTGCATGTCTTGCATTCGGGTTCCGCAGCTTCTGGTTTAAACTTTGACAAACCGTCGGTGGTCTTACTAGTAACAAGTGCCACGCTAGTAGCAACAATGTTTGCTGTTAGAAACAAGTGGCACGCTAGTAGAAACAAGTGCATCGCTTCTAGTAACAAGTGCCTTACTAGTAGCAACAATGTTTGCTGTTAGAAACAAGTGGCACGCTAGTAGAAACAAGTGCATCGCTTCTAGTAACAAGTG